CAAAATGTCAGCTAGCAGTGGCGCTATCGAGCACCAAGGTAGAATATTGAGCCTTGTCTGATGCCACTAGAGAATTGGTATGAATTAACAGGTTATCGATAGATCTTGGAGTCAAACAAACAAACACAATTACTATCTTTTGCGACAACAAGAGTGCGATTAAATTGGCCTACAATCTAATTCTTCATCAGCATACTAAACATATCTCAAAGCACTATCATTATTCAAGGGAGAAAATAGAGAGCAAATAAATTCAAGTTCTGTTCAAACCATCCCTCAAACAACTTGCCGACTTGTTCACCAAATCATTGGGTAGATCTTTATTTAAAAAGTTTTAAACAAAGCTACATTTGACAGACAAGGAGATTACAACTCTACATTTGACAAACAAAGCTATATTTGACAGACAATCTAGATTACAACAATGGATTACACATTAAGAGTAGAAAAGTTGGGCCTCCTGCATTGATTGAAAAGATCAAAATTTGGATGAGCTAATCAAAAGCCTTGGGTGTGTATATAGACATAATAGGCATGTATACAACAACTTGGAGTGTGCTTGTAGCCTCATCTTGTATGTATATTTCTATTTATTTATAAATAGAATTAAAATATTATACAATATATATTGTCTTATACATAATGATATTTTTTACATAAAATTTTTATTCATATATTATTAAGGAATTTTTAATTTTTCATTTTTGAATACTCTAAACATTTAATTTACAAAAACTTTAGCAATGTTGACAATGATGAATGCTTTATGTTAATTTAAACATAGTGTCTAATTTTTATTCCATCTTTGTTAAAGTTTAAGCCAAAAATTGGAGATTTATTATAAAATGTGATTTGATGAAAGTTGTTATTGTTATTTTGTAGATAACATGCTAGCAATACTATTTAATTTTTTATTTAATAGTACAGCTTTTAAAGAGGTTTTTATAAATTAGTCATTCATTTATTGTCAAAAACGTCTTTATTAGCATTGATTGTAACTAATATAATTTTATGATTATTGAAATTTTGTAAAAAATATATTTTTATAATTATTTTACAACTAGAGATTACAAATTAGATAAAATATAAAACCACTATTAAAGAATTTAGAAGTAGTATAGATAGTATTAATAATAACTATATTTTAATTTATTTATAAAAAAAATATGATTATGTTATTATCTATTTCAATATTTTGTAATAAGATTATATTTTGATGTTTATGATTTGTTTAGATTGCTAAGAAAAATTTACCAAGTTTTAAAGAAGTATCATAGTTATTTAATAAAGTTTATTTTCTTAATTTTTTTTATCTAAGATGCCTATTAAGTTTTTTTTGTAAGAATGCATCTTATTTATTTTAGTGTCTAAACTAAATAAAATTTTATAAATTCAATATTTATTTAAAAATGAAATTTACTTAAATTATTACTTTTTTATAATTTAATCTAATTTTTTATTGATCTTATGGTTTTTTATTTTATTTTTATATTCACAATAAATATAGTCTTTAATTTTTTGATTAAATGATTTTTATATTTAATATAATTTAAGCTTTTTATATACAGATGTAACACCTATAAACTAAATATATTTGTTTTTATATAGTTTAATAAAAATGATATGTCCTGATAAGTGTTAAATACATGAATAAATATTTTAATAAATTTTAATATAATAAAATGTTTCGAAAGTCAAGACATCTTCTATGTTTGTTAAATTTGAGCGTTTGATGAAAAAATATGGTTTTACATACTTATGTTCAATATAAATTTATTTATTTCCGAATGTGATCAAAATAATTTTAAAATAATATTTATGAAGTTAAAATCACTTTTGCTTTGATGTATATTATGATGAGATATAAATTGGTTGTCATTTATTAAGTTTTTGAGGAAAATAAATATTATAATTTGACATATTAAATTTAAATTATGTATATATAAATATTAGTAGTTTAAAAAAATAATTTTAATTTTAAAAAATTATTTCTTATTTAAATTTAATTAATAAATCTAAAAAAAATTAAAATGATTATCATATAATTATTTATAAGTAGTGATAGTTATATACATATATATGTATATATATATATAATGGTTAGATTATAATGGCATCAAGAAATATCTAATTATATCAAATATTTTAGTAAGGAAATTAATTTTTAACTTATTAGAATATTTTAGTAACAAAGTATGCTTTAATTTTGGTAAGATGTTTTGTTAGTCTTCTTTTATTAATCTATACTTATTTTATAAAGAAAAGTTTTATTATTAGTATTAAGTTGTATATATTTTATACAAAGCTATTGAGACTATCTATTATAATTATATATTTATTCATCTATCTATACTTAAAATTTTATACTCTTTTCTCAAATCATAGAAATTTTTGGCTTCTTGTATACAAAAAAATTGTATAAATTCATACTTGAAATAAGTGTATTATATATACAACAATATGTTAGGTATTTTCTTAGGTGCATAAAAAAAATAAAAAATTAATGATAATTTTATATTAGATAACAATTGATTGATTTCTTAATTTAATCAAGTTTTAGATGTTAGATTTTATTTGTAATATGGTAGAAGAAATAATATAATAAGAATTGGTATAGGAATTGTATACATATAGTTATATTTAAATTAAGAATAGTATATAAGTTAACACTATTTGAAGTATTGTTAATATTAGATTTATTTTTTGATCAAAATAATTAAAATCTTAATGAATTATTTTTAATCTTTTACATTTAGTTATTTAGTTGTATTTATATTATTAATAATTATGTAGTTAAGAATAAAAATTTATAACCAAAATATGGTTTTAATATATTTATTGGATATTTCTAAAAATATTATATAATTAAAATATTAAATTCAATAATTTTAACATAAATGAGTATAAAATTACCATACATCTAAATTTATAAACTTTATATTTTATTTTTGTATCCAATAAAGATGTTTAGTAAAAGTATTAGGTCAAGTTTGTCTAGATAGATAAACATTTATAAACACTAATATCTTTTATATATATATATATATATACATATTTAGATATATATTTGTATTATAGTCTCTTGAAATTAGTTTTGTTAGAATTCTTAGAAAATATCTAAATATTTTTAGTGATAATAACAGAATTAGTCTATAATAAAAAAATAGTTTGTATTTTTTATTTTTATTTTTTATTTTTTAGTATAATTATCTAAAAATATATACATATAAATATAATATATTATATTTTTTTAGATTATTTTTAAAATAATGTTTTTAAAGCATCATAGATATCCATTGATTTTCTACTTGAAATTATATAGATGTATATATATATTCTAAATTATAAATTACTATAAATCACTATAAATTACTATTAGTTGATTTTAGTTGTTAACAAATCTCATGTTTTGTTTGAATTGGAATATAATACAAAAAGAACTAAAGTTATCATGTATATGTTGTATTGCTTCTAAGATTTGTTATCAATCAAAGTTTAAAGTATTAGTATATAAATGTAAAGATGTAGCATGAAAATATCTTATTTTTTTTTTTATCTTTTTTATAAATTTAATTATTAATTTTATTTAGTTTGAGTCCTATATTTCTTTTAATCATATTTATTAAATATAATATAGAAATTTATTTATATATTTATATTTTAATGATGTTTTTCAATATTTTAGGACATATACACTAGAAATGTTACAATTTGTCACATTCAAAGTATTTAATAAAAAGAGATATATTTTTTAATACAATTAAAGTCATCAATAATTTTGTTGATTTTAAAATAATTATACTTCATAGTAATTTTTCTATTTCATGTTTTAGATTAATTTGCCTATTCTTAGGATGTAATCTATTTTAGATCTGATCTAATATTAATAAAATGACCACTACTTGTATATCTTCTAAAAATTTCATTTTAATTATAAAAAATAATATTAAGATAATTTGAATTGAATTACCAACATTAATATTTTTTTAGTTTTTTAAATTAGACCAAATTTGCAAAAATTGAAAGAAGTAATTTTTGAATACTACTATTTTACAAAATCAAAATAAGTAATAATATTTAATAAACATCAATGAATAAAGAATTAATTAATTTTTAATCATCTTTTTTTTAGGTGTTGTAAAGATAATCTATACAAGATTTATCTAATCTTTTTGTAATTCTTTTCCTTTTGGTTTATAATTGTTGAAAAATGAATTTTGTTGTTTGTTGTTGTACTATTCCAACTAATAACACATCCAATATTTTACTTTTTGCAATCTTGATTAAGACATATCTTTAAATACAAAAAATAATTTTGAGATTTTACTTCTTTTGAAACAACACAAAAAGAAAGAAAACAAAAAATACTTAAGGAAATAGCACACACACACACATTTACATGCACAACGGGATGCATTTTGTTAGCATGTGTTGCGGTTTTCTTTCACAGGAACGGCTCCACCATTCGAACAATGTGTTTACAAACATCAAGGAAGTGACCATTTTCATCGACACTCAGCAGCATCAGCCTAGGATTCTCGTCTTTGTGGCATTTAATGTGGCCTGGTTGAGCTTGAAATTTAATGTGGCCTGGTTGAGATTGAAATTTAATGTGGCCTGGTTGAGATTGAAATGATGCAGTTTCCTGAAGTGCTAGATCTGCAAAGCATGCCAATGGTTCAATAACGAAATGCTGAGTAACAATTCCTTTGGCCAAGTTAGTAGGCCCTCCCTCTCAATGCTTCAATCTGAAACTGATGAACGATCACCTTTAATCGGTTCTTCGGATTCGGAACTGACGGAGTGTGTTTGTGTGTGTGTATGTGCAATCACCACATGCTGCATCCACGGCGGTGTTGTTAAGGACCTATTCCAGGAGGAGGACAACTGCATTTATGAAGGGCATCATAACATATGCACATGTGACAGTCATGTATGACCGAGACAACCAGCAGATCGGTTTACTCCGAAACAAGTGTACCCAACTGAGCAAGGCGTCGTGATCTCGAAGAAAATCTCAATTAATATGTAATTGTAATTCAACGTCAATATATGCTCGGAAAGGAGGAGAATCAATCATAGTGTACACTTAAATAGGCCAAATTCTCCTACACTATACAACATACAGAAGCGGGCCTAGATTAAGTATTACTCGTTTCAATATCCTTTGGTTCCCTTGCCTTGGGCTATGGCCGCTCTTGCAGCTCTTGCAAAGTGGAACTGTACATTAAACTATTATTTCCTGCGATTCCAAGCTATACACTAATTATGGCTGATAAAAAGAATACAGAAGCATGATGTTTCACACTGAAGGTGGAAACACAATCTGCTGAGAATTCAACAAATTACGACTTAATCAACTCCTACAGCTTCCGTTTGAGTCGTTTTTTGAAAAATTAATCTGTCTTTTGAATTTTTTTGCGACGGGATATAGAGAGCATCACAGAGTGGGCAGTCAATCAAGACGGGGTGAGGAATACCGATGCAACTGCAGCGTAAGTGCTGTAGACAGCGAAGGAAACACCAAGCAAGATGAGCACCGCGTCAATGATGAGAGATTGGCAAGAGGCAGTTGTGCCGCAGAGCTGCATGTGGAACATGGATGGGAGGACAAATGCAAGGAGAGCACAAACAGTACCCCCTACGAGAGAGATGAAGATGCCGAATCCCGGCACTGATACTGCCAGAATCGCAGTCCCGAGCACTGAGAGTCCACGAAGAGCGATGGGGAGAAGAGAGTGAAGCTGGGAGGATGGTTGCACCTTGGTCTGAAACCACGAGCTCTGTAGCAGCTTCATTTCAAAGATTTCATGCACTGGGTACATCATGACGGGGTATGTGAAGAAGAGACCAATGCACAGCCCCACTTTCACCAGGATAGTTGACAAGTCATGCGGCAGATTGAGTGTGATGATGTCCTGGGTGTAGTCTCCGAATGCCCAATATCCGATAAAGCCGAACATTAAGTAGAGGGAGGTGATCGCTACGAAATCAAGCGCCAGAATGCGGGGGAACTTCTCGGGTCTCTTCATTGAGGCTTCTAGGGTTAGGGTCATGCCGAAGCCCTCAAAGCAATATATGGCAACGCCCATGGCAAACGGAATGGCAGTTAGGGTTGTGTAGGGGTTCAAGTCCTGGAAGCTCTTGGCGCTCTGGAGGTCGTCCTTGATCACTAACGCCATAGCTGCGACGTTGCACACATCGGCGAAAATACTGAACGGGGCCAAGGAATGCAGGGACCGAAAAGTAGAGAGGATGATCTGGAAGACTATCATGATGAAAATGAAATCGGAGGAGCGGGTGGTGAAGCCCGTAACGACAGACGACACATTCTGGCCGAGAAAGATGAGGTAGGAAACACAACAACCAATTTGCGATACGCAGATGAGAATGTCGACAGTGAGTCGACCTGCGGAACCGTAAGCCATCTGTCCGAGGTCTCCATATGTTCGAACTCGCATGCCACCGCCTTTGGCAATAGAATCTTTGCACCCTATCTGCCAAACACGCAAACCCTAATCCAGACAATCCCTCTTTTCCAAAACCAAGATGGTGACAATAAAGATGCAACTAAGACAAGCTGGCTGCGCAAAGAACTTTAGACGCAAATTTGGAATCAGTGCAAAGCAAGTAGCAATTACGTTACGAGGATACTGACCAGAAGCAGCATGCAGTAATAAGTAAGGGAGGCCGCTCCCACGACGGAGCTTGCAGCAACAGCCCAACCACTCATTCGAAACGTGTAAGGCAATCCCAAGACCCCTGCTCCCACGATCGAGATGAAGATGTTGCCCGCAGTGCGCGCCACCGATGCTTGACCGCTCCCAGCATGCATTAGCAAGGGGGTCGCCTCATCTGGTTCCATCCCTGCGAATGGCGCCATCTTCACCTCCTCTTCGGCCTTCGGTCACCTGTATTGCTCCCTCAGACTCTAGATGCTCTGATTGCAGCGGAGAAATCAGGATTCCCACAGTGTTGTAGTAACTGTGAGACAATTTAGATGCTTCAGAACTCCTCCAACCAGTAGTAACTCCTGAGCGATGGAATCGAGCTACGACGCTGGTGATGTCGGATGGCTCAAGCGGCTCTCTTCAGCCAATGAATTCTCTATATAGGACTCTGAGTCCGCCACTGATACAACAAAAACTGCAGATCCTCAGACTCCCCAAATCGCATCTGCCATTTCAAATGCACTCAAATTAAATACTTCAACAATTATCTTGCGAAGATTCAGTAATATAAGGAGTCGTGCAAATGGATAACTGTTGTCCCCGATGGAACCAATGGGAGACGCACCACAGAAAGTCCAAACTCTAATGCCGAAGTTGCAAGTTTCCGCATATTTCCGCATGTGCAGGTCTCGAAAGCTGTGCTAGCCTATGAAAAGTCACTCCTGGTAGTGAGATAGAGGTGGCGACGTGAGCCCCTGCGGTTTAGCAATGTGTCGCCGTGTCACATGCGTAGGCAATAAACACCCAGGCCCGTCGCGAATCACGTTACTGGGAGTGAGTCTCGGCTGCACAAGTGGAAGTCCAAATTTCGAGCACTCTTCGCGTGATGGAATGACGCAACTGCAGGCTCGGATCACGCTCAATTAGCCTCCAGTGGCCCCTACTCTAGCTCAGCTTCGAACACGACCAGAGCTTATCTAATGGCATTCCTGTGAGATGCCTCGACTGTCAGAAATATTCTCATGCAACACCCTAGTTTTATACTCCTCCAAGGATCGCTTTTTGCTTATGGGCTCCTCTACAGTGACTATGGCACACTGGGGTTTATGGGGGTAATTGTCTTTACATATAAACATTTTTGTTTATATTTTTCTTAATGTCGGTTCGGTGCACCTGGTCGAAGCCCTGGTGCGCTGCACGTGGTCAAGAATCCTCGCTCTTTCATATGTGAAGTTGTCCTTCCTGCATCGCGAGAAAAATCCAGTCGCCACATCATCTCTGATCTCAAAAAGCAGTCAAGAAACCACTGCTATGTTAATGTCGCTAATGTCATCGTGGCCCCAAATAATTTTATTTTTGTCGATGTCCGAACATATGCTTCAGCACAAATGATCCGTTGAAGGTGTAGAAAAGTACACCAGTTTCTGAGGATACGTGTATTCTTCCCATCGGCACAGCATCCTGGGTCACGCCCTTTTGGTTAGTTTCCTTGCAGAAATTTACTATAAGATGGACTTGCCACTTGTGGAAACTGTCGTAAATCGTACAGAACTGTAACTAGGGTGTGAGAAGTAATATCATGGTGCTAGATTGCGAATCATTCACAGGAATGGATACTCTTCTCACTGTCGAATGCATGACATCCTTAGCGATCTCTGACGCTTGTTGGGACATACCAGTGACACCCACATAGCCACCACGCTGAGTAACTGAAATGGAATGATATTTTCAATTCCAGGAAGCACTTTCAAGAACCAATGGAAGTACAAGGTGCCTCTTGTCGCTAGAAACACAGGACCAATTCCTCCGATCGAAATCTGGACGAGATCAACGCTGGCCCGGATCAACCACGGCGGTTTTTCTACACAGCCCAAGTGGCATCTCAACTGTAGCAAAAATCAACTAGGTCCACCACATCTGGGTTTTAAGAAGGGACACTACAACTTCTGATTTCAACTCCATCGCAATGCTAAGCAAGTGACACGAAACGGAGCAGAAGACTCAGCGACCGAGTCGGTGGCTGGTGGACTTGTCAAACTGGGACTCAACAAGAGGCGCGGAGCAATGCATCCAGAGACATCAGCGCATGTGAGGGAGGGAGAGTCGACCATGTTCCAGTTCGCACACGAACCTGTGCCTGTGCAGCTATGCAGTAAAAACACATACAAAGAGTTAAAAACATACAAGTGTGCAGACAATGCTCTGTGGATTGCGGTGCAGGGGCACAATCCCATTCATGCGTGGTTGGCGTGTGTCCAGAATCCATCGCAGGATCGTTCACCAACTGCGTCGAAGCTCCCGCTTGACCTCAGTGTCTCAAGACTCCTACCTTGTACATGTTGCCAACATTTTACATTTATACATGTACAAAATTAGAAATCAATTAAAATCTCAAATATATTGATAATTATCTATTATATTAAGACATTGTTTAACATTAGAAACACTAATAGATTAATCTTAAAGATAATTCTTAATTTTTTTTACAAGTATATGTTATGGATGGTTTTATGTATAAACACTATATTGAAGAAACAATTAAAATTTTAGAAAAAAAAAAAAAAACTTGTTATGTAAAGATTTTTATATGACATTATAAGATTTATATAAAGTTGGTGATATGATTCTTAAATTTTAAAATTTTAAGATTGTGATTTTTTTACTTTGTAAAATAATCATAAATGTCATCAAATTAACTATTAGCATATAAATATTATATATACATACATACACACACATATACTATACCAAATTATTATAAATTTAAAATTTGTAAATTTTGACATTTGTGAGATGTTCATACAAATTTATTATTCTAAATCATCACTAGGTCTTTTTATACATAAAATTTAAATTTAATGTTAATAGAATTTATTTTTTTTTTGATGAAATATATGTATCTATACAATGTCTTTCATTGTCACAATATATAAATATCAGTCATATTTTCTAAATAATAATTTTAATTTTTGCATACCAATTATAATAAAATATGGATGCATAAAAAGTATCAAAAGATACAATAAACAATTATCAAATTGTTACTAAGAATAAATTATTCATAAACATTATATATTTACTATTTTTTCATAGAAATTATTTACTAAAAAATCATACATATGTTAATGCAACTAAGAAATATTAAAGACACAATGACAAGAAACTAAAAGATGAAGAGATATTTGAGAAATTCAATATCATGCTTAAAAATAAATAAATAAATAAACTAGACAAGGGATATAAAATAAGTCAACACTTGGATTCTGTATAATTTATGTTGCTCAGTTTGGAAATTTCTTTATCTTGCCTATTTTTTAAAACTAAAGCAACAAAGGTTTATTAAATACTTACAATAAAGGTTCTAAGAATTATGAAATATTTCTAAAATTTAAAAATTTACATAATTTTAAGAAAACTCTGGAGCAATTGGAGACAATCATGAAAACTTTTTGAAGACTTTGGTAAACTATGAAAGATTTTAAATGTTTATGAAAATGGATAAAAATATCTAAAATATACCAAAAGCTTCTAAAATGTTCTAAAACTGTTTGAGGCTCTAGTGTGTTTTATATTTGTGATAATTGTTGATACAAATTTTACTGATATTCGTTCTTATTATAAAAAATCCTATTGGCATTTAACTATAGTCATCTAGAGAACCTATATAAATTTACATAATTTTTTCCCTAAATCTAATTTACATTTAGTAAGATAATATAATATTCCAATAAAAGAAATTACCTATCTTTAACCTTTCAAAAAAATTAATTATTCAATTTAAAATATCTTGTTAATCAAAAATATTATACTTGAAATAAATATAATTATATTTAATTTTCTTAAATATAAATTTTTTCTTCAAAACAAAAAACACACACACACATATATATATAAAATTAAAATTTACTTAAAGAAAATATAAGAATTTTGGTCAACTTCAAAGGAAAGAAGATGTATTAAAAAAATTAGATAATGTTTATTAAATAATATAGTATAGATTAGAATTATTGATCTTATTATTTACAACTATGATCTCTTAAATCTTTTTAAAAAAAACATTATTAAACTTAACTCTTTTATTCTTTTCTTTTTTTTATAAAAGTAAAAACACCTAAATAGAATATTAAATAAATTTATTATTCATATACAGGATATATGATGTTAAACATAAATTGTGAAAAAAGTATTAAAATTTATGAGAGGAAAAAAATACTGAATTAGAAACAACATAGTGCTTGAGTTCTTCTATAACTTGTGGTGCAAAAGTTAACTCATTTCTTATCTTGTATCTTTTTTTATGTATGTTATTGAGACTAGATCTTATAAAAGATTCTAATAAATTTCTAAATACAATACTAAATTTAAGAAGTTTAAAAAATATTTTATGAAACTTTCGAAAGACAATAGACGGTTCTAGCAAATTTTAGAGGCTTCTAAAGACTTTAAAAAAATGTTTTAGATAAATACTATATATATATATATATATATATATAGATAATTTTGAAAAATTCTAAAAAGTGAAGGAGGAAAAATAAATAAAAAAATAGACTGACTGACACCATAAATATAAAAAACAGTCAATTTCCTAAAGATTAGAATATTAGATCACCAGATTAAAAAAGCATAGATATTTTTGATGTTATAAATCTTTTGTACTCCACAATCGATCTTGCTGGTACATATAATAATAAACTTCAATTTTTCTCTTCTTTCCCAGCAAATTGCATTCACCAACAACATTAAAATGGTAACCCAATTCCAAAAGTCTTGGAAAGGTATTCTCAAAACCCATCTTCGCCAATTGCCACCCAATTGTCATACAACCCTAATTTCATGTACGAAAAAGGATTGTTGAGGCTCTGAAAAGAAGACTCATTGGGTTCCTCATCTATCCCATTTTTATTAGGTAAATTCGTCACCACAGGAGGTCCTATAGCCGCGGAACTAGGTGGGTCACCGTGTCACAGTAACCCAGGTTGGTAAGGCCGCGGACACTTGTCCCCGCCATGTGGCCCCGCCGAGGGGTGACACGTGGAATGTGCATCACTTGGGGGGCTTGGCAGCCATGGACTGGCTGCGGCGACCACTCTTGTGCGTGTCGCAGCGACGCTGCCTGTGCCACCTCTCCTCCATAGCCCACTTACTGGTGCCGTGCTTATCCTTGCCCCAATATCCCCCTCAAATGCTGCCCCCATTGCCTTATAAAAACCCAGCTACACTAACACTGCCTTCATCACTATCACTTGGACCTGATATCTTTTCTCACAATCGTTGCAGAGGACTTGTATGCACTTTAGACGTGGAAGAAGAATCGCGAGACTTTTCGGTGTGTCGGAGGTGAGTGTCCATCGATCGTGCCTTTTGGCGTTAGGCGCGATTATGTCGCATGCTGTGTGAGTGTGTCTCTCTCGGCCACTGTAGGATGTTCGTGTCGATGCGAGTTTGTGAAATGCTAGGTCAATGTTGCTTGGTTCACAGTTTCGTACCTAGTTTGCGATCTGTCTGATTCGTTGTGTGGATGTAGAGAGCCTCTGGTGCGTAATGTAGGCTGGTTGGGACACATTTGACTTGTTCTGTAGGGTCGATCTGTCGATGGGGCTCTGGGTTTCCGATGTTTCTCCGTAGAGGGAGTTCTTCTGTATGTTTGTTTGTGGTTAGATCTGCTTTTGGAATCAATGAGCATTGCGAAGACTATTTCTCCTGCTAAAGAACTTTTCGATCGTCAAATAATTGTGATGATCTTTCTACCATTAAAGATTCCATTAGAGTCTTTGTTTGCCATGCATGTTTGGGATCGAGGATATTTGAAGCATACAGTGGTCTAATGTAGCGATTTCTTAACAACAATGCTTCCATTTCTTTTGCAGAGAGTATATAGAAATCATCGACAATCATGAATCAGTACGGAAGAGAACAGCAAGATACTGGCCTCGTCGGCTCTGGTACAGGTAATGAAATGTTCTTTCGGCGATTTGAAACACTGTTTTCCGTGGATTGATGATGAACGATCCTCAAAGGTCTCTTTTATTTTCGGCACGGAACCCCTCGCAATCTTTGGTGTAGCTCATTTGTTCTCGCTAACGATCCATCTTCTGATGGTGTAGGACATCGCGATGAATACGGCAATCCCAGGCAAGAGGGTATAATGGACAAGGTGAAAAATGCCGTAGGCATGGGCCCCAGTTCAGGAACCGGCTACAACAATCAGCCTGGTTATGACAATTACGGTAACCCAAGGCAAGAAGGATTAGTAGACAAGGCGAAGGACGCCGTGGGCATGGGTCCGAGTTTAGGAACTGGCTACAATAACCAGCCTGGTTATGACAGTTACGGGAATCGTGAGGGCATTGTGGACAGGGCGAAAGATGCGGTAGGGATGGGTCCGAATTCAGGAACTGGCTACAACAACCAGCCTGGATACGACAATTACGGTGACCGAAGGCATGAAGGATTGGCAGACAGAGCGAAGGATGCTGTAGGTATGGGGCCTAACTCAGGTTACAACCACCAGCCTGGATATGACAACTACGGCAATCGTGAGGGCGTTGTGGACAAGGCGAAGGATGCGGTAGGCATGGGTCCGAATTCAGGAACTGGCTACAACAACCAGCCTGGTTATGACAGTTATGGTACCCGGAGACAGGAAGGATTGGTAGATAGAGCAAAGGATGCCGTCGGCATGGGCCCCAATTCGGGCACCGGCTATAACAATCAGCCCGGATATGACAACTACGGTAACCCAAGACGCGAAGGAGTGGTAGACAGGGCGAAGGATGCTGTAGGTATGGGGCCTAACTCAGGTTACAACAATCAGCCCGGATATGACAACTACGGCAATCGTGAGGGCATTGTGGACAAAGCCAAGGATGCAGTCGGTGTTGGCCCCCACTCGGGTACTGGCTACCACAACCAGCCCAGCTACGACAACTATGGCAACCCTAGGCAAGAGGGAATCGTGGATAGAGCGAAAGACGCTGTGGGGATGGGACCAAACTCTGGAACTGGCTACAACAACCAGTCTGATTATGACAGTTATGGCAACCCAAGGCACGAAGGCATGCTTGACAAGGCGAAGGATGACTTTGATATGGGCCCCAATTCCGGCACTGGCTATAACAACCGGCCCGGCTATGACACCTATGGGGACCGAAGGCACGAGGGAATTGGTGACAAGGTGAGGGACGCAATCGGTACTGGCCCAAACTCCGGATATGACAGCCGCACACCCACCGGAACCGACGCTTACGTGCATGGCAACCATCCCCCTGGTATGCAAGACAGAATCACTGGCGTGAACGAGCCCTCGATCTTAGGTGGACGTGAGAATGTAGACCGCCATGGTTTTGGACACGATGGTCGCCAACATCACGGTCTGCTAGATAATGTTACTCTTCAAAGTGGCCATATTCCTGAGACTATGGTAGGCGGGCGCCGTGTTGAACCTGGATATGATATGACCAAGAGTGCTGGACATCATCGTGAGTCTACCATGCTATATCTTCTTGCAATTTATTTCGAAGTTTAGGCAGCTTGTTGAACTCTGCTAAATTGGTGGTGCTTCATGGTTTTGGAAAATCGGTGATTCTGCTGTTGTGGTGGTGCTCATTCCTTTGTGTTAACTTGATTGATGGTAATGTGGTGTCGATGCAGTTACTGATCTTGGCCATCACGGTAACGATAGCGGTGTCACTGGATTGGGCCATCACGACACTGATTACGATGAGAGGAGGGGAAAAGGATTTGAAGACCCGATTGATAACAAAACCGGACTTGGATCAGACTACGATACGACCGAGACCGGATCTGGTTATGGTGCCACCGATACTGGTGCTGCACCTCACAAGAAGGGAATCATAACTAAGATCAAGGAGAAGCTGCACCACTAGAGAAGGAAGCGTAGTAATCTATCATGTAAATGGAGATTTGGTTTCTTGCAGAAACACCTGGTGTAATTTTTGTTTCATGAAATGTGAATATTTGAGTTTTTGTTAATAATCACTGTGCTGTTTCAGTGATTGTTCAAAACAACTACGATATTTAAATCATTGAGTAACTGACCGAAATTAAATTGGTGATAAATTACTGTCATCAGTGTCATTTGCACTTTCTCCTCAATTTTTAGCGTTTGATTTTGGTTCGATTTTTACACACTGTTTGAAGGCATTAACCTCTATGATTGTTTTATTCTTTCTTTTCTACATAAGCAGCATTTTAATATATATTTCATCTCTTTTGGTTTTGTTTATATGAACTTTTTTACTGCATGAACTTACAAACTTGATGGACTCTTAAGTTGTAGGATACCAATAATTATAAACAAAAAAGGAAGAGAAAAAGACTTACTGATACTCATTATCTCGATAAATATGCTACCGAAGTACCGGTTGCCACTGCTATCGTGGTAATATAACAGCTAGGATCGATAACAATCGCCTCTAAAATGAATTAGTCCTGTTTCATTTTAACATCGTTCTGAAAAATCCAAAAGCCCATCTCCTTTTTGAATTCTCAGGCAAATGTTCCGCTACGAGCCAATTTCTGCTTGACCAACTCATGGGTTTCCTCCCTCTTTGGATTATTTGGATTTTCCATCACTTGTAAAACATCCATCGGCATAGGACGCTAGACAGGCGTGAGCCTCTCGAGCTCGTGCTGCAGCACTATACGCACATTCTCATCAACAGCATTACTTTTACACCACTCCAAAATTGCCTTGGCAGGGTTAAAGGCGTACTTCCAGCAGTTTGCAGCCAGCAAATGGTAAGAAGGGTCGTGATCTTCTAGAATCGTGATTCACAGATGCCATAGTCCATGCCTCCTGGCCTGAGCCTAGGTCTTCGATCCTTGTTTCATAGCGAGCTTGTGATCTACGCTCAGCATCGGGTGATACAAGAGAAAGGCATATTCCTGTATCCCCTTCACCTTTCTGTGTATCTCCATTCTTCTCTGCCTTGAGACAGTGATTTATCTGTGAGCCTCCAACCTTCTCCTCAAAATAGATGAGGATGTAATCGTGTTTTTCAATAAGCCCGTGTTTATTGGGTAAAAGTCTCGCGCCGATTCCAATGGGGCTCTCAACGGTATCTCCATAATCTTCATTTTGAACTGCTTAATAACAACCCCTCCTATTCGTTTTTTTTCATCCTCATCAATATGGACTTTGCCACGAGCGCTATACGAACCTGAGTTTGAGCTGCCACTAGACACATATCGGTTCATCGCCACTTAACAACTGATCAGGCCCACGCTGAAGCTGCAAGAGATCAATTTAATTGGTCAACACCTGTAACTCTCACTATCAGCTCTTAGGCCCTGCATGGGATCCAGTATGATGTATTGTATTAGTCTCCTTGCATGCTTGCTGAGAATGCTGAATCGTAGCAGCTCAGCATGAATAATTAAACCCATACACTACATACACATTTTTGCAAGACGTATTTCGATCACGTAAAAAACATCATTTTGAAACACTGGAAGACATTTTGTATCACTGTCTAGCTATGAAACACAACCAATAACCAGACAAAAAGAATTCAACGAATCGTTCGAATGTTTCAATTGTCTCAACACCTACCGAATTGGCAATAAAACGTTGACTTTGTGTTTTCGTATGACGGTGGGCGCAAGAACTGGACTGAGTACATATCTATATCAGTGCAGCTAGTTACTTCTACTAGGTCAGAGCCAACATTGCGTCACTTCAACTAACAGTCACTTAAATGTCTCCCAAAGCATGTCGACAGTCCATACCGAGGTGGGTATGATCAGCCGATTGATAAATCAGTCAGTCTGGATTAATGCTCTTCTTAAACCAGTGACCACGCAGCACCGAAAGCACTGGAGATATCATAGATCAAGGATCCTTTATAGCAATGTTAAGCAGCTTCTCGATTGCTCCAGAGCTTCTGGACCAGCCAGTCAAGCTCCATACTTGGTCACTGCATTAGCTTGTACAGGCAAAACCTTCTTCCGGGATGTCGCAACTACCGACTACAGTAGTATCTGTACACAAAATCATAATTCTATTGTGTACAGACACAACTGTAGTTGATATTTTATTCTCGGTGCTTGAATTTTAATCATTTGAGCATTTATCAAAATCCCTGCGAATGAGGGGATTCTATATTTCTGTGGAACTGGCATCCGTACTCACACGCAGAACACTAGTACCCCGGATACTCCCAATTATGTTCAACGATCCGCGGTAGGTTTGACTAGGTTAGAATCTGACACTGGATGTGTGAAAGCACATCACATGTTTTTGGTAATACATTGTTTAGTCTCAGTTTGTAGACAATTTCCCGTCTTGTAATTACATTGTGCCTTCAAAACCAGCACTGGCATGAATCTTCTTGGTGATGTACATTGTTGAAACCCTGAAATAAAATATTCAAATACTTGTACAAAATAGAATGCACAACATAAAATATTTTTAGCTTCAAATTTTTTGAATCTATTTATTTCAATAAGTCAGTTAGGATCCTATGCCCTTCCAAATATAAAAAAGAAAAAGTGATAAGTTTCAAGTGTACAATGATAGAAATATATTTTTTAAATGTTTAAAAATAGATAAATTTGTGGTTGTTCATGCAATTGATGTTGAAGTTTTTAAACCAAGCATAAGTGTTGTAAAATTGAACAATGTTTTTTAACATATGTCTACATTTGCTGGCACCAAAAAGCATTTGGAATAAGTTTCATAGTCTTATTACAATCAAAATATTTAGCAAATGGAAACTCATTGTAGGATTGAAGAATCCAAAAAAGAAACAAATGCCTTTCAGTAGTTAAATGCATTTTTCAATAAAAAATAGTCCGCCTTTTAATTTAAACATTTAGTAATCTTTATGAAATATTTTATTTTGGATGATAATACATTATTTAATATCCAACACTAAGGGATATTGAAGCTACATAAAAGTCCTCAATCTTAAACACCAAGTCAAACCATTTAGCATTTTTTTACCTCACCAATGAACCAATCAATGAATGGAGAATTAAAAAATTAGCAAAGAATCTGTGCACACTACTTGCCATCGATTCTTCAGTGTGAACTTACAAATGACCGCCATTGCTTTCATAAATAATGGAGAAAAATAATGTGCACCAACTAGGCAAAGACTTTTGTACCAACACAGATGCTATATCTTGCAAGATGTAGAGAATGAAAATCAGTTTATATACTTATGCAATATTTTTGTGGAAGAAAACTAGAACATCAATCATGTTATGATCTTTAGATGAAGCATGCCCTCTCCTTATTATGTATTGTAGACTACAATATACTACCAGTGGTAGACATTAGTCAAAGATGTCATTTTGACATACTTGTGGCAATGCCACCCATATATTTTGTAGCAACTTGAAACATAAATACTCTCTTCTTAACATGTTATTAGCACAAAAGACTTACACTTGTTTTTTGTTCTTCTTTGCTTGTTTTTCTTTGCAGAATATCTTTGTTGATATGTGGCCTTCTTGAATTCATTCTTTACAATCTTTTCTTTCTAATTTGTATATTTTTTTTCTAATTTTTTTAATTTTTTAATTTTATCTTCAACATTGATTTTGTAGTACAAATTAATTGCCTCAACTAGCTTAATGTTTGTTGCCGACTTGCCTAAACTCTCATCTTATAACTTCTAATTTTGGTTCTTTTTTTCTTTCTTTGATTATATTTTTATAAATATATTTTTTAAATTAAAATGTTTTATGATTTCTTTTAATCATATCTTGATATTTTATTTTATCTTTTTTAAAAAAATAATAATCCTTAATATTTTTTAATTTATAGGTTTTTTTATTTTTTATTTTTATCTTTGGTTTCTATTTTTTCATATTTCTTTTATTTATCTTAAATTCAAATACTTTTTTTAAGTTTTTATCTATAAATTCCTTTGACTACCATAACTATTAGGCTTTTACACCTTCAAGTACTTCTTTTTTGCTATTGGCTACTTTTGAATCCTATCAATAGATTTTAATTAGTAGAATTCTTAAAAATATAATTTAAAATTTTTTAGATATAAAAATATTAAGAATAGAAAGTCAATTTGATTATTTAAGTATTTATTAGAATTTAATAGGTTTTGTTATGGATAAACTATAGAGAAGACCAAACAAGAAATTAAATAGAAGAGTTTCAACAAAAAAAGCTAGCATAAATTTGATTAAACCAAATGAGTAAAAGATCAATACCAAGAGAGGTGAACTAAAGCTCTAACAAACATATTGTTAAGACTCAGGATCTCTTCAGCCTCAATTCCAATATATATTAAGTATTAGAAAACTTCTTCAAAAGTTCCTATATTGCTTGGAAATAAAGCAATCTTAGGATCTTTCTTTGATAACTTTTTTAATCTTCTTAGAACTTTGTAAAATCTACTAGAATATTCAAAGAACCTTTTAGAAATTTTTAAAATCTTTTAGAATATTCTAAAAATCTTCCTAAAAATTTCACCTAAAATATTTTTAGAATCTTTTAGAACCTTCTATTAGAATATTTTGAAAATATCTTACAAATAGTTGCTTTCATAGTTGTGATAAAAAAAAACTCTAGCTTTGGCTCTACTTGAGATTCTTGATCTAAAGATTCTTTAAACACTCTCCAATTCAACATATTAGATCATAAATTGGATATACTAAACTCTAAGGTTATTGTGAGTAATATGTCCTTTCTTCTTTATAATACAATATGATAGTAGAAACTTCATAGAATAGTCATTCTAAAATAGGTTTAGATTTTTAAGGATAGCGTTGATAAAAATCTTATATCTTTTGTGATATATTAATTAGATTCTTTGTTGATTTTTATATATGCTCATTAATATCATAGCCATGCAAATAAATAAAGTATTCCAACTTGTCAAGAATTAAGAACTTTTTCTACCTCATATTTTATATGATTATTTATTTCAATGTAAGGCAATGATGGTTGTATTCTTTTTAGAATAGTTAATTCTGTATAAGCTTCTAAGAAAAAAACATGAAAGATTGGATGTATATTCATGGATGTGGATAGTTCCAACCAAGAAGCCACTTGATTGATTTTCTTTTGAATACAAAATGGCCCTAATCTT